TCTAGTAACCCTTCAGACCTTGATTAGCTTGTTCAGGTGTGTTTGATTAGGATTGAAGCAAAACTCTGTAGGGCTGCGGCTCTCCAGGACTGACGTTCGCCACCCCTGCTTTAGAACATCTGTGGAGGGAGCTGAAACTTCGAGTTGCCAAACGACAGCCAAGAAACCTTAAGGATTTAGAGAGAATCTGTAAAGAGGAGTTGATCAAAATCCCTCCTGAGATGTGTGCAAACCTGGTGACCAACTACAAGAAAAGTCTTACCTCTGTGCTTGCCAACAAGGGTTTCTGCACCAAGTACTAAGTCATGTTTTGCTTGGGGATCAAATACTTATTTCACTCACTGAAATGCGAATCAATTTCTAACCTTTATATAATGTGTTTTTTCTGGATTTTTTTGGTTGGTATTCTCTCTATATCCGTTAAAATAAACCTACCATAAAAATGACAGATTCTTCATTTCTTTGTAAGTGGGCAAACTTACAAAATCAGCAGGGGATCAAATAAATATTTCCCCACTGTACTTAGTAGAGTCTTTGTAATAAATAAAGCAGCATTTTACCTGGACTGAGGGACAGTTTTGTCCACAAAAAGGAATATGGCTTTTTCAGAAGGCAGCTGGATCCGCTTTCTGATGATCCACATGAACTGAGCCACTGTAATGTCAGATGGGACCAGATACTTTCGCTTGTCAATGTCCACAATCTGTGAACCAGATACTTTCTCTACAATAACCTGATAAACACAAGAGAGAGCAAACAAAGGCAATCATGTGTTACAAAGTTTTGTCTGTGTTAAAGGTTTGTGTTAAAGGTTTGTCTGTTACACACACAGAATCAGCAAAGAGTGGTTTGTTCACACCAGGGGTGGTTCTAGTATTTCATCCTCAGGTGGGCTGAGCCCTCAGAGAGACCATTAGATACAAAGATACAAATGATCTAAATGTAACAGTGCTTGTGAAAACCATTACTCTATGAAGTAAATATACACAAAGCTACAGAAGTTACTTAGTTAAGACAAGAGCAGTGAGTGATACTCTATTTTTCTTTTGTTGTTTGATTAACATTATTTTGTGTGTATTTACTCAGGAAGACGTGAAATAGAATTTGTTATTTGCGTGCTGTTTTTTCGTGTGCATGCTTCACGTGTGTGCGTGCACAGAAACGATCCATCCTAGCGCGCGATTGAGATCTCTTTCGCACTGTCTTGTGCTTGAATGGCTTAAATCACTTTAATTTTTAAACTGACAAGACTTAAAACATGTCAGAATGATAAACTTTCTTGAGGAAACAGCACTGGCCCAATCGTTCAGGTAGCTGATTATAGTTTTAGGTGGGCTGAGACGACAGATGGGGGGCGCTCTAGCCCACCTAAACAGGGTCTAGAACCGCCCCTGGTTCACACCAAGCGGCAACCTTCCGGTCTCTCTGGCCCTGTCCCAAATGGCACACTTCATGAGCACTTGCGGTCTTGCGGACTTACAATGGCTGCCGCGTGTGTATGTCCGTGAAGTCCATGAGACCGTAGAGTGTCCCATTCGTCATTTTAGTGGACTCAGAGGAAGACCGCGAGGGTTTAGGGTGCGATTTGGGACAGGGCCTCTCTTGAATCCAACAAGGAAGTGACCTAAACTGCAATTCATCAACTGGCCGCTAAAGACAGGCTCCAAATGGAAGTCAGGGAATTCTTTTTTTCTAACTCATCCATTTAAATTATATTAAGCCTTAAAGTTCTGCATAATTAAGGGCGTGGCCACTTGAGTGACAGGTGGATTGCCGCTGCTGTCACTACTAGCCGCTTGTGTGCTGTCTGTTAGCCGTCACGTCACCTCATGCTAATTCCATCCTCTGAATTAATTGTACTAACAGACCGTCCAAGAAGTCTGGGCTCCATTTTTTCCAGTGAGTAAAATTTTAATATAATTTTATTTATTAGTTTTAGCTTTTAGTTTTAATTACTTTTTCTTATTTGTAAGTCGCTTTGGATAAAAGCGTCTGCTAAATGACTAAAAGTAAAGTAAAGTAACTTATATGAAATCATTTATTTATTATTCATAATTTTATTTAAAACTTTACTACACTCGACAGACTGTGATTAGCTGTAGGCCGAAGCTGATCACCTCAGCTCCACCCACATCCCACCTCTTTGCCCATTTTTGATTATCTGGGAGTGACGTGATGGTGACGCCGGCTCCACTCACTTTGGGCTTCAAAAATGCTCTTCAGAAATCTACAGCTGAAACTACGTCCATTGTTTTATACAGTCTATGGTTCACACCAAGAGTGAAACAAATATCTGTCGGCATAAATCAAAAGCAAATTCACTCCAGCACAATAGATGGTGCAAGCGACAACGCACTTTCAGATGGCCTGTCTAGTTCAACACTCATTTTAGCAATAAATGTAAAAAAGGAAATACAGACAAGACTTTAAAGTCTTGTGTGTATTTTGTATGGCAGAATTGTATCAAAGTTGACAGCAAAAACATTCAGTATTAAAAAAACACTCAAACTTTACCATTTTTCTATGAATTTTGATTTACTTAGAGAAAAACAATTTTTTTGTCAGATAAGTAAAGAGTGCCGTGCCTTAATAACATATACTTTTCTACAGTCATTACTAAATGAACCCAATGTTTACACATCTTTTGTTTCTTATCCTAAAAAGGATTTGCGTTAACTAACATTTTATGCAAATAACTCATTGATTGCAGGTTATGTTTGTAGTTCAAAGGCTCATAAACTGCAAACACTGATGTTCTAGGCTTGTGCTCAAAATGTGTGGAAAGGAAAAAAGACAACAGCTGATTCAGAATCCTTTGGTGTTTACTGCTGGTTGGCAAATAGCTTTCAGTGCATTATCACCATGAAATGCTCTGATATCTAATTGATTTCGATGTTTTCATTGCAGGATCAAGAAAAAAACATGACACACTCTCCAGAAAAAAAACAAAAAAAAAACTTCTTTGCGCCGAACATTCACATTTGGTGTGAAAGGGCATTTAGACCCGCTGTTGTCTATGTCTGATATGGTTATTATTAGTTTAATTATTGTTTAATGGTTTTCCTTTATTGTCCTGGTAATTTGTTTATTTTATCTGATAACTGGCATGTGTTCATTAGCATATTGGTTTTATGGGGATATCAAGAATCATCAAATTTCACTGGTATTGGAATCGACTACTGAAGCTGTGATTATTGTGACAAACCTGTTCCTTCCAGATGGAAAAAAGGATTTCTGGTATGTTCTGATCCATAGATCAGATTACAAGGTAGGCACAACTTAGATTTTCCCCAAATGTGCAAATAAGTCTTTGATTACAGACTTTTGATTACGGGCTTTGTTACTATGACTTATCATCATACATTATAAAAGAGAGGAAACTATGCCCCATGTTAAAACTGTCAAACTTTCCATATCCATACTCACAGGAACTCTGTCTGGGTACTTGTTGCGGATTTTGGCCGACTCCACACATCTGTGCTCTAAATGATGCATGCAAAAAGACAAGATATCGATCAGTCTACATGCAATCTCAACATGCAATGCTCTTCACATCATTAATATTCATTAGAGCAGGGGTCACCAAACTCAGTCCTGGAGGGCTGGTGTCCTGCAGAGTTTAGCTCCAACCCTAATCAAACACACCTGAACCAGCTAACCAAGCTTACTTGGTATACTAGGCACTTCCAGGCAGGTGTGTTGAGGCAAAACCCTTCAGGACAGAGTTTAATGACCCCTGCATTAGAGAGTGTTGTAAACAGCACGAATGAATTCTCATTGGTCATACTCATCCGCATTTTTTTTTTTTATGATTATAAATAGATATTATAATACTATACACGCACACAGGGTAACTAACCCCAAAACAAGTCAAGGAATATTTATATACACATACATTAGACATGTGAATATCTCAAAATCAAATCATATTTTAATATTAATACATTTGTAGAGTTGATAAACATGCTAAACATGACGTGCTAAAATGAAAGAAAAACAAAGCACATTGTTATCAAACGCTGACAAACAACAACACCAGAGACAGACTCTCCTACGGTGTGATCTCGGTTTATTATTGTTATTAATGTCGTTATGATGAGTTAACAACAGGCCCGACATAGGCAAATAAATAAAGTGGGTCTTCTTAGATCGTAAACTGAGTTAGATTAAATTAGTAGGTTGACGTAACGTAATCATCAGTTTGACAAACAGATCAATAATTACACGCATCTGACAGGCCGTTGTTGATAAAAACATGACATTTGCGATGAATTACCCAGAGAATGGTCCTCTTTAAACATCCATTTCATTTTTGCAGAGGTACTGCTCGAGGAGCGATCTGCTAATGAAAATATGTGATGATTTGAAGTCAATTAAACGTTGAAACTAAAAACGTCAACAATGTAACAGCAGCAGACATTCGTCTTCAGACTAGCCGTAATGACGTCATCGCGTACGTCCTCTCCGTCAGGGCGAGGTTACGTCACGGCAGGGCCGTACCATTCGGTCGATTCCGGGGTTTTTATACGCGAGTTCGTATATTTTACAGCAACTACACTTATTCGATTGCCGAAACCAAGTGATCAAACTAATCGTTTTTGTTTATAAACATACTTTAGATCAATTCATATCTAATAATGCCTATGTACATACTTCGCACAAGGCCAAGTTTGGCGTTGTTGCTATGGTGAACAGATGACGCTGCGCCACCGGAACACTCAGTGCGCGTGTTGTTGGTTTGCTGGACTAACGTTAATTAATTAATCTGTAGACTACAAGTTTTGACTACTACGTTTCCCCCCCCCAAAGTGCAATATTATTTAACTGAAACAGCTTTTGTTTGATCGTTAATGTATTTGACAATGCACGCAATGCTCACAGAATACACATGTGTTTAATGGTATTGTGGATTGTTAAATGGGATTTCGCATTTATTAGCAACAATGGCTTTTTATGACGTTTACTCCCATCCCGCATTAATAAGACACAGAACACGCGTCTGCACGAGAGCAACACTGTTTGTCTGTGTGCTTTTATGCCTCACGTATATTACACCTCTTCTGGTGGTTTACAGAAGTCAAGGTAAACTGCATTTTATTCCAAGCAAATTATTTCCAATTTCCAAACACGTGATAACATGAAGCGACTGTGCTTTACGAACAGGCTTCTGGCTGAAGAGCAGCACATATGAAGAGCAAGCAGTCATTCAGTTCCAGTATGACATGATCGTGGTCGGAGCAACAGACACAGCAGGGAGCTATATAGCATGGAGCACGTTTCCCAACTTTAATCGATTGATTGGAGATAATTTACGCATCCCATCTGTCTCTGTGAGTACGAAACTGTAGAAATAAAAACTTTTAGTATGATTAATTTTTTTGCAATATTGCAATAGTGAACATATTAAAGCTATTGAAAGCTGCACTGGTTTGTTCACTATTCAGGTCCAGGAGGAGGACAGAGACCAGGATGGGAAATCTGACTTCCTCATGCTCCAGATCAACATCCCGCTCAAGCCAGAAGAACAGATGTTCGGCATCCAGCTCCTCCTTACCTTCTCATACCAGCTGTTTGTGTGTATTCAGTGCATTCCTATAGGCCACAAATCAAATGCCTCACTCCTACTCATTCAGTATTAATATCTTTCTCGCTCTCTCTCTGTCTGTTCCTCTGTATATGACTTATCCAGCTCTCTGTTTGTGTGTCTAACTGTCCACCTGTCTAGCGTATGTCTACGGTTGTGATGCAGACGCTTGCCTTTGTGCAGCATTCCTCGCCTGTCCCAGGATCTCAGCTGTTCATCTGTGGAGACCTGAAGCTAAACCAGCGAACTCCTCTTCCACACCGAGGTTTACATAGTACCTACAATGTGAGTAAATCTCAACAAGCCCCAGTAGAACCAAGTTTATCAATGTTGTATGACCTACATAAAGATTAATGTGATGATTGCTGGAAACCAGTTTGACTTGCAGTGCTGAAGTGCTATCAAAAGCATGTCAACAGGAAGATAATAGATATGAAATTCAGCAATGGAAATTATTTGGGACGTATTTGATGTATGTGTAAATTGTGTGTTTGTCAGTAATTTCCAGAAATCACAAATTCATTTTAATTGGCTTTTTTTATTCCATTGCTAGGTATCACTGATCGATGGATCCAGTCTGTTTGCGAGTACATATGACCTGCCCAACATCATTAGACTCTACCAGCAGAGAAACTGTAAGACAAAGCCAAACAAATGCGTTTTATCATTATTGTTATGAATATGTCCAGAGCCTCTCTCGTCTTCCTTATTTGCGCCACATTGGTTTCAGAAAAAGCACTGATTTGTATTCACTCTAGGCTGTATTTTTCAGTAGCATCCTCTGATATTTACTCTAGAACGTTCTGAGCTTTTTCCTGAGTCATCACCTACTGCTATATTTTCTGTTTCTTTCAGGTATTGAATATTGAAACCTTATTTGTCAATTCTCTGTCAAATGTCAATCCACCAATGATAAGCATTTATTATGTGGTTCTCAGGGATGTAGGCTTCATGTACTGCTATAGGCTGCTTTTGTTTTAGCTGAAGTGCCACCTTCATTCCCAGCAGTCTCTCTGTCTCTCACACACAGTGACTACTTATCTCTCCGGCGTCATTCCCGTGTGGACGGTGGGCAGAGCTGCAAATTCTCCATTCCAGATCAGCGCCCAGATCAACTATCCAGTAGAGACTATTACATATCCTTTACATTTACGTGTGTCTTATATATATATATATATATGTATACATATGTGACCCTGGAGCACAAAGCTAGTCTTAAGTCGCTGGGGTGTATTTGTAGCAATAGCCAAAAATACATTGTATGGGTCAAAATGAAAAATGATTTTTCTTTTATGCCAAAAATCATTAGGTTATTAAGTAAAGATCATGTTCCATGAAGATATTTTGTAAATTTCCTACTGTAAATATATTAAAACTTAATTTTTGATTAGTAATATGCATTGCTAAAAACTTCATTT